ACACCAAATTTATAAAAGTTTAAAATTAAAAATAATCGTACTTTTTAAAACTTAACAGGCACTAGGAAACAAGTTGAACAGCACCAGCGTCCACTATAAGTCTTTTGGTAATTAGCTGTCATTTTTAAACTTGAACAGCACCAGAGTCCACTATAAGTTTTTTGGTAACTAGTTGTAATTTTTATACCCAAGACGACAGAATACTAACACATTTTACACCATAAAATAAGTTTCATTAAAGTAGATTTTTTCTAATTTTTTATTCAATTAGTTGACATCACAATAAACTAGTGCTCATTACCTGTTTTACACAAAGTTTAAATAGAGTATTGTACTTCCTTGACCCTGTTGCTGTACAGTCGCCCCCAAGTGGCTCATCGACAAGTCTGAAGGTTTGTAATGCTAAAAACCGGATTTTGATACCGGTGGTTGGCCCATTGTGTAGTTTTGTGCTTAATAACAAACCAACCGTACAATCGATCTACTGGAGTATCGGTTTTACTGAAGTTGACGGCTGGACAGAGATTTCTACAACTTGTCACGAGGTTTATCTCCCTTGAATTTGAACAATAGTATTGTTTATTTATAAGCACAAAGCTACACAATGGGCTTACCACTAGAGATCATTGTTGATGTAAATGCTTTTATGGGATAACACAATAGGACGTTAGTCTGAGTTAACAGTAGGGTGTCAGTGTATTCCAATTTTGTATTCATCTTTTGAAAGCCTGTCTTCAAACCCTTTATTGTTCCAACAGCCAATAAAGGTCTATTAATAGTGATCATAGAAGCTGGCCAGTTTGGTAAAACTTTTTAATCGCTTTTTTTACTTTCTCTCCGTATTTACCATATTCATACATATCATGACTCTCACACATATATTACAGACACATTGAACTTGTTTGTACAACACCTGAACACCATGGAGAACGTCGTAGAATTAAAACGATCCCACGTGAAAAATTTAATTATTGTTTTTAGAAAGTTTAGATTTGTTGTTTCGGATATTCGTATAAAGTTAGAGAAGGGAAACACGCGCTGGGTTATTCTTGTAAATACCAATAATATTACAAGGAGATCTATGGGTTTCATTAGTCGAGAAACAAAATAACAATGCGAAAGGGTCAGTTATAAAAGGTATATTTCAAATTTTTTTTTGTTGACATGATTATCCTGAAATGTTACTGAAAATCTATATGTACTAAAATTCATTTAACCAGAAAGGACAAATGTTAATAGAAATGCCATGAAACGGTTTTAGTGAGATATACATCAGGGTTAACTGCACTTTAATACGAACGGCGTTCCACTTCCCACGCTGCGTTTATCGAATATTTATCCACCAACAAACTTGCTCAGTCTGGTAGCCATGGAGACACACATTTGACTGGCACTGCATTTTTATTTCAAGCTTATGTAAAGAACGGCAGTGTCAATCTTACGTCACACATTTTGAAAATACTTTCCACAAATTCCTTCCAATGTACGCGGATGTCGGTTTTCAATACCACATTCAAGCCTATCAAACACGAAACGTTCACTGGATCTATATAGGGTTTTTCACAAGCATGCCTATCAAACACGAAACGTTCATTGGATCTATATGGTTTTTCACAAGCATGCTTTCGAATGAGACTGCTCTAATTCCGTTACCTTCAACCATTTTTTTTTCATGACAACAGCCGTTGATTTCAAGGTGTGACTGTAAACTTGAGGTTTCGTTAGCTTCAATAATTTGTTTATTATACTGTAATGGTACAGAAGATATGAACACGTGCTATGCGAGTTTTTTTGTTTCCACGGACATGTCAAGATTCCACCCTAGCAACGTTTAAAAATATCGCTATACAAATATTTCTTATACAGGCGCTGTCACAATGCCCCAGTCATAATTTTAACCTTGGAGGCACGGAGGTAAATAAGAAATAAACAAACACACATGTGCAAAAATGTCGTTCATGCCGCCGCCACTTGCACCTGGGGGTAACACACCACTGTATTAGTATACCCAAATTTTTCTTTAAAAAGTAAATCTTCTCCGACAGTAAAACTCACGGACGTGCCACAGCAAAGGCAACATTATAGTCATAAATTACCAAATAACTAAATTCTTGCATCTCTTCCCAGAAACTATATAATTACTCGTACTTCTGTATATGAAATATCAACCTAAACTATTTGTTGTATTCCTACCTATTCAATATAAAATAGAAAGTTATTGGCAGGCTGTAAATTGTTTTTATTTGTTATCTTTGTTTTTGTACAAGCGTGATAATTCCGAGTGTATTTTTCAAAATCACTTTCAAAATTTCCTACAGAAATTTGGTTCTAACATCAAATTATTTGCTTAAAATAGTTAACAACAAAACTGAATGTTAGACATGTGGTAACATCAAATTATTTGACTAAAATAGTTAACAATATAACTGAATGTTAAACATGTGGTAACATCAAATTATTTGACTAAAATAGTTAACAGCAAAACTTAATGTTAGATATGTGCTTATATTTTGCATGTGTATATCAAATATAAGGTCGTGCATATGGTTTCGGCACCTGAAAACATCGAATACAGCAACCGTGATTAGCCAATAACCAGAGGTCGTGCACGCCTTTAATAAATCAAGGTTTTCAAATACAACTTTTAAAAATCTGCGTTTTCAACCGTAACATCTTTTTTACATAATGTATCAGAATAGTTCACTTTATATTATCTAAGTTACTGATAACGAGAGTAATGCGTAACATCCGGATACAACACACACATGTACGCGCGGTGGTATATGGGACACTAGACTTCTATAAAACTGTACCTAAAGCTCGTACATTATTTGGCGTTTAGAAATAATGAAAGATTTAGTCACTTACCAGACACCCGGTACAACAATACTATGTACATTTTTCCAGATAATTCAGTACTGTTTTGCATACTCATGAGCATTTTTACGACAATGTTGGAGCGTACTTAGCCAAAGCAAAACACAAATAAAAACCCAGTATTTTTCGATATTCTTCAAGCAGCCTAAATTTAAAATCAACAACGACAATTTACTTTGTAAAACATGAGAACCATAACTTTATCTTAAAAGGTCTGATAACCATAACTATTAGGGAATGAATAAAAGTAGCGTGTTTGTTCAGATAATACAGTATTATTTTGTTAACAACACTATTTATATCTCCATGCTAGCCACTGTAATATTTTATGATGATGATGATGATATGATAGGTGTCAACTCTTTTTTTAAAAGTTAGCTGTGTAACACTATAATCATGTTTTATTATTTTCAGAAAGGTGGCGGAAGGCCGTCTGGAGGGGGTCACCTGTTTTAAACCCTCGCACAGTAGTGTGTTGTATGTCAGTCATCGGACACTAATATGACGTCACATAAAAGGCGCTTGACTTTGCAACTTGAACTGTCGTAACGTCAGTAAAACGTGTGCATGCCATGAATCACGAGAAGGATTATGCACTTTGTAGGCTACAACACAGCATGACATACGAACTTCAAAAGCAAGAAATACAAATACTTATTACTCTTGATTTTGGTTTTATTTACTCTTGAAACAGAAAACTAAGAATACACTAAACGCCGTAGGAAAATCGTTGTAAGCAGAATCAGAGAGTACTCACTATTCGTTACTTTCCCACAATTACATGCTGACGGTAAGTGGTGATCTGAGATCAGACTTAAGGAACCATAACTATTCTAAATTCTCAATTTTAAATCCACAAGTGTGACTTGTGAATAAATGTAGAAGGCTGTGTGGGCTCTACTTCAACACAAATTTTCGTACTACTGGAGTGACATCTGAGGTTCAAATCACTGTTGTACACTTAGGGCTTGGATACTGGTGCACTGAAAGAAGCTTCCTACCAACGACCAATATGGTACTTCTACTATTGGAGTGACATCTGAGGTTCAAATCACTGTTATACACCTCGGGCATGGATACTGGTGCACTTAAAGATGCTTCCCATCAATAAACAAAATGACTTGTTTGTTTGTATAATTTCACACAAAGCTACAAAACAGCTATCTGCACTAGTCATCCATAACTTTGAATTGATAGACTTGAGAGAGGGCATCTAGACTCCACAAAACATGTTGATGATTCACCAGAAGTGTTCATAACTGAAAAATTTCAAAGGTCTAAATGATGTAAAGAAGATGTATTATGATATATACAGGGTGCCTGAAAATTCTGAAACCATAGCTCTTCTTAATTTCAGTTAAGTGACTGATTATGGCACTATCAAAGCATGAGAAGGTTGAGTTAATCCTGCTGTTAATCCAAACTTGTTGAGAATTACAAAACAGCATGTGGAACACATTTTCTAAGATTCGTTGAAGGGTGCATTATGATATATACATCTAAATTCAATCTGTCTCCAAAAGAACCTAATATCACTAACGTAACTGGAGAAAAAACTTTAAAAAAATCCTAGAATTCTCATGAAGGAAATATGACAAAATGAGAACTGAAAGCAAAGGTTTTAAGATCACAAAAGAAACAACTACAGAAAACAGGGATAACAGCACTTCTGAAAAAAAAAACAAGGCATCTACTGCTAACTTTTGAAACAAATATACAGAAAAAGGTGGTGGAAAAATTCTCTTGATGTAATGGAGAAAGCCAAAAATCCCCAAAATCCTCTGTAAAGGGCAAAGAGGTCAAAAGATAAATAATTAGAATATAAATAATCCTGAAAATATGATGACAATACTTGTGAATCCATTGGAATTGACTTATTCCAGAGAAAGTGAGAATCAAACTGTAGAAGCATGAGTAAGCCTAAACATTAGGAAAATATTCCAACAGAGATAATTGGTGATCTAAAGACATAGGTGAAGAAATTTAACATCATGAAAGAGAACTGAAGTCTGTGAAAACATAAACAAGCAATGAAAATTGTGATATTGAAAAATACTGTATTGGCCCAATTATAAGGCAATGTTTTTTTTTATTAATAATTAGGTTGTAACATTCATAGTCACCTTATAATCACAGGCCCCTTCCCCCTACTCTAGCCTGTTGCATTCCTGAATATCCAGATAGCATCTATGTACGCATGCACGGCTTAAGGTCATCACTAATACTTGCAACTAATCCACCTGCAGGCTGTTCCGTTACAGCATTGATTTTGTGGACCTAAAAAAAGGACATTATTACATTAAATTTTTTTCTTTCCCAAGGTTTCTGAAAATGGGGGTTACCTTATATTCGAGATCACCTTATAATTGGGCCAATACAGTACATAAAAAGCAATGAAAATGCTGTAAAAAAATTTAGGTAAACTTCCAAAGTACATGAATTTTAATAAAAGTAAAAGAAAGTTCATGCCAATGAAATGATATAAGAAAATTTAATTAACTTATCAAAATTAAAAGTGGTCACCTGAGAAGACACATGGATGGTTTTTGACAGCCATAAATACAAGCAGGCAGATGGCTTATCAAATTATTTCAGGGTAGGCAAGAATCTTTCTTAAAATTCTATGTTTGATGATGAAAAAAAATCAAAAAGCTTTTGAAATTTTTGAGACTGATGCCCGTAAACCTAGAGTTCCTAGAGTTATATTTTACAACCTTAGAGAAAATTAAGAAGAAAACAGTGAAGCTTTTAACTGTTATTTTATGATTGGAAGGCTGCCAATGTGATTCCAATGTTTAAAATAAAAAAAGTCAAGAATGAATGAATCATGAAGATTCTGTTGTTTGACTCTTTGTAATTGGTAAAGAGTGGGAGTTATTTTCAGTGTAAAAACAAATATCTTGTGGAAATTTGCAGTTTAATTAACACTCTCTTGCATGATTTTAGCAAAGGAGTTTTCTTGTCTTACCAATTTCTGTTTTTAAATAGAAAATATATTTTGGATGATTGCTCACCTGTTGATGATGTGTATCTTGGATTTCAAAAAGCTTTTGATAAGGTGTTGTAAAAGGTTCTTGAAAGTAATTTGAATGCATTTGAATTTGTAGAAGAAAATTATGAGCAACAAACAAGGTTTCTTGGTGGTAGATATCAAAGGGTGGTGGTAAATAGCCTGAAGATGAAAGGCAGAAGACTTTCGAAACGTCGTCCTATACATTTGTAGGTTTATACAACAGGCAGTTGCTGTCCATTTGAAACTTAGATTCATTCAGCCTTTTTATGATTAGGAGTACTAGTAGAGTCTAACGTTTTGAAATCTTTGTTGTTTATGTCAAAAATTTGGATAGTTGCTTGGACAGTTAGGCATCCACTGTGTCTCTAAATTCACTTATGATATATATTCCAGGAACAGGCAATTCTATGGACAATTTTCTTTATGATTAAGAAGGACCTGAGAGCTAGAAAATGAAAACAAGTTTCAGTCCTGAGAAGTCTATTGGAATATGGTAATTTGGAAATTATTCATTTATTAATTGAGATTACCTTACCAACCTTATTAGCATTAAGGACGAAGTGAAAGATGTAGGTGTGATTGACGATATAACTATACATATCTCCAGCTTAATGTTCGGTTCCATTTATAGGAATTTTATAACATAAAGGAAGAAATGTTATCATAATCCTGTGTAAAATTAATAGCATAAAGAGAAAAAAGGATCATTATTCCCTCAAGGCTGTCCTTATAAAATTCATCAATTTACTTCTTAAATTTCCATACAGTGCTTGCCTCTAATTTTGCCAATTGCAACTCATTCCATGAGTCATTTCAAATATTCAGAGTTCCGTTGTTCTACTTTTCTCAGGGTACAGTAAAAAGAAATCAGAGGTCTTTATCCTACTGATTCCCCATATACACCTTTTAACCTTCTATTCTCATGAGAAAATAAGAGATGTTATCCACCCCTAAAAGACAACAATTTCATCTCTGGAATTATTCTAATAGTCTTCCATTAAACCCTTTCCAATAAGTCAAAATTATTTCTTAGCAAAGAGACCAAAACTACATACAGTTCTTCAAGTGAGGCTAAATTTTGAGTATTCTGTGCAGATTTGGTCTATTTTCTGCAGGAATGATAACATGTTGGAAAGAATTCAGAGAATAGTTACTACAGTGATGTTTGAATTAAGAAATTAAAGCTACAAGGAAAGGCTTAACATTCCAAACCTGTTTTCTCTGGAGCAAGGAAGAATTAAAATTGGAAGTTCAGAAATTGTTAAGAAGTTTAGGGACAGTCTTCCCATGAATGGTCTATTTAATAGTTAGAACAAAAAGTTTAGTAAGTAAAAACTAGATACTCCGCTACTTTCAATCTTATGTAATAGTATTAAGCTTTGGAAGCTAACATGCAAAGTTGTTTATCAACAAAATTATTTTTTGGTTAAAACTATGTTTCTGACAAGACTTTTGCTTGTCTGGATGAAAGGTACCCCTGTTAACAGCAAGGGACCTTGTACATATACTCCTTATTTTTCAAGAAGCCATCAATAACCCTCTTGTACTCATCTGAAGTGCTAGCGTCTTCACTATTGATGATGGCAACTCATTTCATAAGTCAAACACCATGTTAGAAAAATAAACTTGTTTGATATGGAGCCTAGCTTGTCTTTTCCAAATTTTAAGCTGGTGTCCTCTTATCCTATTATTTTCAGAATATAGAACAAAGAAACACAAGATCTTTTTTCTATTGATCCTCTAGATAATCTTATAAACTTCAGTAAGGTTATCTCTTAAACATATTTTTTCAAGAGAAAATATGTTAAAAGATATCAACCTATTTTTACAAAATAACCCTTCCATCCCTGGAATTATCCAAGTAGCCCTCTCCTAAACCTTTTCCTATAAGTCAAATACCCTTTTTTTAGATAAGGAGACCAAAATTGTACATATTATTCCAATTTCCAAGCAAGTCCTAACTAAGGATTTCTATAAAGATACTCTTTTTGGCTTCCAATCAATTTATCTTTAAGCACACTCTAAACTTTTATTAGCTTCACTACTAACAACAGAGTGCTGCTTCAATGTCTTGAATGGCATTAGCCATCACTATGCTAAGATCACTTTCTTAAGTCATGCTTTTGGGTGGGTTTCAACCTATATTAAATGTGGGATCCCAGTTATAATTAAAAGTCACTTTCAAATAGCTCCAAGTCATTACGTAATATCTTAAAATCATCAATACAGCCAGAAATTCCCAAGAGTTTAAAGTCATCAGAAAACTTTACACCCTTCTTCATATCCTTAATGTAAATAATAAAGATCCAAATACTGACCCCTGAGGCAAGCCACTAGAAACAACAGTTTGACCAGACTCCACAAATTACAACATTTTGCTTTCTCCCATCCAACCAGCTAACAATACAATAAATAGTCCTTCTCTAATGCCTTCCTAGCTAATCTTTTGTGTGGTACCTCATCAAAAACGTTTTGAAAACGTAGGTATACCAATTTCACACCATACCCATCAATGGCATCATTCAGATAACAAGTAACATCCTTAAAAAGAATAAAAGAATAACAGATTAGTAAGGCAAGATTTCCCTTTGGTGAATCCATGTTATCTTTCATTTATGATACAATATTCCACTAAATGGTTTTGTAAAGCTTCTTTCATCAGACTCTATAAATGTTTCTACTACAGAAGTAAGGCTAACTGACTTATAATTTCTAGGGAAACTCTTATCATCTCCTTTAAAAATATGAGCAACATCGGTAACTCTACAATCTTCAGGCACTTGCCAACTGTATACTGACTATTAAAAATGAGAGAGAGAGAGAGGGAGACTCACATATCTGACCTTTGACCTCCTTTGGAACTCTGGAGGAAATCTTATCAGCCCCTGGTACGTTATCTATCTGTTTTGAATCTCTAAACTTTCTACTTACCACCAAAGAATTAATATCTACATGATTCAGGTCAAAGTTAACATTTAACTTACCTGAAAATGTATTTCAGAAAGTTACTTACCTCTCCAAGGAACAGATAGCTAATACCTTGTGCCATTGCCTAAAATTTTTTGTGCATGCACTAAACCTTTGAATGAAACTTTCACCCATACCCATCATAACAGGTACTGCACTAGTCTATGATGCAATCAGTATGAGACTCCATCAATAGGGGGGGTGACACACATTCAATGGGCAATACTACCCTTCAGCTGTTTATGTATACCAAAAGCGCATTCTCGAGAGATATGCCAAAGGTGAAAGGGGGTGGGTGGTTCTATGAGGAGGTGAGTGTCAATCTGAAATAGAACCAGAGAAAGAAAAGAAGAAAGGTTCTTACAGATTTTGGAAGTAATTGAGACAGGATGAAAATCTGGCCTGATGGTTCAAAACAATGCATTATAGTCAATTAACACCATTCTGATTGAAAATATATGGTTAATGGGATCCCTCATGGGTCTATATTAGGACATTTGTTTTACTATCTATGTCAACAATATGGACTACCATATAAGCAGTAATAATTATTAATTTTCTGATGATACTAAATGACTAAGTAAGACTGAATCTTTGGAAAATGTTTTCTTTATGCAGGACTTGGACAGCCTTACTGAATAGATTAACTGTGTTAATTGAATTTCTACACTGATCAATGTAAAGTGATTCATTTAAGGTATGGAAATTTGAACGATCTTAGAGTTCTGTGAGGGTGAAATATTAGTGTTGTGATGATTGAAAGAAAGCCTTAAGCCTTCAGCTGAATGTTTGGAAATGGAGCTATGATATTCATATAAATTGAGTTCTGGCAAAAAGTTAGAAGTATCTATAGTATATTCAGGAAATATTAGGCAGAGAATAACAAAGAAACATGGTTAGCAAAGGAAAAATAAGTGGACACAGATGAGTAAATAAAACAATCTTTACTCATAAAAAACACAAATACATTGTTGGAACCGGAAAATGCATGTCTTAATTAGGTGAGGGTAGGAGCATGAATACTGATGATACCATACCTTCATGTCGGACAAAAGTTGCAGTGTGGTTTTATCATAATCACTGATTACCCCTATTTCAATAATCATCCCTATTATACATTTCTAAGGAAAATAAACCTCCAGTTCACACTACTCTGTACTAATTTCTGTACAATCCCTTTAAATGAGTTAAAATCTAAATCTAAAAGGGTTAGCAAAGAAACATAGTCAAGCAAATATAAGATTTATTGAACAATACTTACAGAATGTAACCTTTCTCTAAGCTAGAGGATTCACACAGGATTATGAGTTTTCTACATATTGTTTACAAGGATGCCAACTAACAACATGCAGAGATCATTCACAAAAAATGTAGGAAAATTACCTAAATCATACCTGAATAAAAATACATTCTTTACTAGTTAGCAGTTCTTTTAATCAAAAAACAATCAGCAAACAGGGTTATAAAATCTACATTTAGAGTTCAGGTGTAGGAAGGTTATCATTATTTGTTGTACAAGAAAACTGATGCTATAAAAATAGCACTTCAATCACTACCTTGTCTGTTGTATCCCAACTCATCTCCTGAGTTCTGGTATTGGGCGAAAGACCTTATCAGCACTGGATATGGCAGATGTAGTGTGTTTGACATGTTTAGACATATTCTCCTTTGCTTTCATTCATAGGTTCTTAGAATTACAGTGTAAAAGAATTTGGTAAGGTCTCATTTCAAGTAGCAACTTCAGTTTTGGTTTCTTTATTCACAAAAAATATACTGATGTGCTTGGAAAAGTTCAGAGTATGGCTACCAAACTGATTCCAAGTTTGAAACATTTCAGATACGAGAAAAAACTCAAAGATCTAAACTTGTACACTCTAGAAAAACTGGAATGAATATAGTTTAAGTTTTTAAAATTATTAGGGTCTTAGACAGACTGTTCAAGGGAGGTAAGCAGAAGAAAGATAAGGTTCAAGATGAAATGCTCAACATTAGAAGCAATAAATGCCATGGAAACCAAAATCTAGGTTGGTTATTGTTAGACCTATTAACTTATGAAATAGTTTGCTAAATGATGTCATATGTGCTGGAAGTTTGAATTTCTTTAAAGTTTTGTTGAGTTATTTCAAGGTTTCTTGGTTGGCTGACATTAATGGGCCAAATGGTGTTCTGCCCCGTAGTCTTTTCTTATGTTATTTATTAGGCTTGTGAAATTTTTTGCCTAAAGACCTGGTGTGACCTGTTAAATTGAATTCTTTTATTAAAAAGGTAAATAAATATAAAGTGACAAGTTGGCTTAAACTGATTGTTGTAGAAAGTGAACGGAGGTAACCAGTTTGTGAGCATTATTAACTTTTTTTAATGCCAGTTAAGTTGAAACATCTGAGTGGTCTGGCAGACTAAGAGTTCTGGATCTGAATTTTGGATGTACTTTCTTTATATATATATATATTATTTACAGTATGTTAGAAACTCCTTGACAAATAGGTTGTGAGAACCATTGAATATATATATACATTTCAAAAACAAGAATTTTATCATACTCTTCTCAATTCACTGCTTTTTAGTATAAAATACATCACTGTAGAGTAATAAAAATACAAGTAAATTCTGATTCTACAATCAACTGTCATGTCACACAATATAGGTATGCACTGCATGACTACAGCTACTACTGTGATAACAGATAAGCCTTATTATTTTTTTTTGTAAGAGTTATTGAGCCAAATGGAATATTTTCCCATGACATAATGCATGCACAAACACATTTGTACACTAGGCAGAAGTTTCCATTTTTTATAGCTTTAGCTTTAAAATGTAAAATATGCATTTTTAATGCTTCAAGCAAGATGTAATTCATCTCAGTATGACACCACACATCAACAACTTCTAATATATTCTTCAAGAATGACATTACACCAATCACCTGCTTAATAATTATACATTTTTGAAGTATCAAACCTTCAACAAATTGTCAATGATTTTGCACTGTAATTTGCAATGTGGCAGGGAAAAACGGTACATTCATCTAATGTTCAATAAACAAAACAGTGGGGAAAGAAAAATACTACATTTACACTAAGAAATAACAATGTATCAAAATAAGGATTTGATACTCAAATTTTACTAACAATGATGTAGTATCTAAACTTGCACGTAAAAATGCTCTAGATGATTTAATTAATGGTCATGATTAAATAATTAATGGGTATTATTCTAAAGAACCCAAATAGTACTAAATAGTAACTCACTAATTTGTACAACTACTATCACTCTGTACTACTACTACTAGTAGTCTTTTACAGCAGTCGTACTTTTAGCTTTATTATTATTAATCTATAATATTTATAGCTATAGGCTAAATTCGACTATAACACTTACAAGTTACACTACAGACTACAATTGATTACGGAATTTGAAATGACTTCCTCTATTTTTTTCTCAACTAAACACTAAACTCTTGCATATAGTCCAACTTCAACCTGCTACTAATTGAATTTTTAAAACTCAAGAGTCAGACTAAACTCGAGCAAAGACAAACCCTCTGTGTGTGTGAATGTGATGCGCAGCACACAACGTTCTAACTAAGGTTAGTGCTGTAGTATAGTAATAATGAACTCCTTTTCAAGTTAAAAAATAAAGATTATCATAATTTATAACATACCTTATTATTCTGCAATGAGGTTACTAACATGATGGCTTTATATCCATTGATGAGAAACCGGTAGTTACCTTGCAAAGCAAAAAACCCCGACGTTGAAACTAAATAAACTAACTACTACTTAATTTAGAATTTACAGCGTCCTCTAGTAGATAATTATGAAATAATCATATTTAACTTTAAAATTTATAAATATAAATAAAACATTTTTGAACTTCAAAAAATTATAGAAATAAATTTATAAGTCCATTTTGATTAATTAAATTTATGCTTAGCCTATAGAAATGATGGGTTGAAATTCCTATCTTACTTGTATCTGACAGCTTACTACTTTTGGATTTTTAGTTCCTTAGACTGTTTATGATTTTTTCAAATAACCGTGCACGTTATGTTTCACCTATTAATAGTTTATTTTACGTACCTTGAAACTGATTTAATTCTTAGTTTTGTCTCTTTCCTTTAATAATTCCAACCTTTGTCCTACATTTTACGTTTTGTTTCATTTCCTTCTTTTCCGTTAGTTACTGTATATCGCAAATATGTTTTTTTTTCTCTATTTTTCTTCTTCTCTTCATCGCTATATCTGACGCGCTCCCTTTTAATATGGGCTAAGCGTGGCGTAGTAGTTTGTGTGTTCTGACTGTGAGTCTGAGGATTCATGGTTCTTGGCACTTTGGGTTAAAACGCACTCAATATTTTAGAGCAGTGGGTGCGCTATAAGGATGACTGTAAAATTCCACAATTCCCTCTGAAAGGAGTACTCCAAAAGTAGACGGTGGAAGCTCTGGACTGGTTGCCTTCGCTCTGGCATACTATTTTATAATTAGGGATGGGTATGCACACAGCTTTTTGTTTAGCTTTGCGTGAAAATTCTGAAACAAACAAACTTTTCTATAACAGACAGAAAATGCTATATGGATTACCATAACAGCAGCGAAGCTAATGTGATTAACTTTCACACATCTAGCTTTTTACCTGGTATAGCTTCTAAAAGACTCAAGTTATTAATTTTTTTTAAATATTATTTTATCATATTTGTTTATGTCACATGTCTTCTAGGTAATCACATGCCTGGAATATTATTAAATACAGAATCATATAAATAAAGATATTTATAAAACTACACTTACAAACAAATATGCAATGCTATTTATGTATTTTTCTAATTTAAAATGTTGTTTTGGATTTTTTAACGCAGAGTTTCCAAACCGTATATAGGTGTTTTGCTTTAGTTCCTTTTTTTCTTTTAGTTATAATTCTAAAAAATGGTAGAATTTTTCAAAACAAAGTTTTAAAATGCCAAAACATGGACATACAGTCTTTTTGTTGTTAATTAGATATGTATTGAAACGCTTCTTTCATGTTATCTCACGATATACATATTTTTGTGTGTTCACTGTCTGTTTCTCACCTTTAAATATCCTGCTGTAGTGCCTGGGTTCAGAGGCTACAAATTAAGCAAATCGCTAAAGAGAGAGACCCCCCCCCCCCCACTAGCTATGAGGAACGAGGGGCCAAAGGTGAGATGAAACAATATTATAGGATAATTAAAATTTGTGGACAATCTGCAATGAAAAATATAGCATGACACGCGAAAATTGGTCTCCATAATTAGGTGGATTTGAGAGCGATGGGTGTGTCGAGTTTGTATGACTCTGTTTGTCATCAAAACTTAGAATAGCTTTTTATTTTACAATGTACAGTATATACTTAACAAGATGTTTTACTGAATAGTTGATTATTTAAAGCTTTTTAAGAGGAATGACATAGTAGGCTAGGTTCCAGATTTCTATCATACTATCTGAAAAATTCTAAATTGTTTCATTTTCCAACTATTGGTGAGAAAAAAAGAAAGAGAGAGAGAGAGGGAGAGAGATAGCCGTTTGAGGTTTGATTCGTTTCTTTGTTTCGGTTCACTCATTTTCTCTCACCAGAGCTTGATAAAGAAACAATCAACGCTAGGAGAAATATTCCAGAACTACGGACTACAACATAGGCAAGTGTTAGGTGTTTGAGACAAAGGACATCTAATAAACGCATTAGTAGAACAACCATGTATTAGTTTTAGTTTCGTATCTTGATCTTTAAACTACGATACTTTTTCCTCAGCTATCTGGATTCTATAGCAATACTGTTATTTCGATATGTAAAATTGACAGTTGTATTTGTAAAAATAATTCTGTAATTATATTATGTTTCTCTGAAATATTTAATTGATTCTGTGTTCGTCATCTTTTAAACATACCTTTAAGCTCTTTTAAGTTTTTCTTTTTGAGAAAAAATGATAATGTCTTGTAAATCAAGAGCCCATAGGTACTAGCAATTTACTTCACAAAGACAAAATTATAATAAAAGAAAAACTATTGCTTTGTACAAGTTGATCGAGAGATGGCGATACCGAAAAACTCGAACAGATTCTTATTACATAATATATGTATATATTTTCTAATCTTCCATAATAAAAAACATTAATAGTTTTTTGCTGTATTTAAGTGAGTAATTATGCTAAGGATTGTTTAAAACTCAAACCAAAGGTTCTCCTGCTCCAACTACATTTTCTTATAGACGAGATTGATTTTGTATTAACTAGAAAAAAATGTTGATATATATAAATCAGATTCACAAAAAGTTTATTGAAAGAACACATTGTGAGATCAGTTTTAACATTCGCAGAAATAAAAATATTGTTTTCAAAAATTTATATCATCCCAAATCTGAATTTCAGCATGTAATACAATATTTTTATTCCAATTAATAGAAACTTGAAGTTATGAAATAATGAATAAAAATTACGTGCAGAAAATGAACGTTTTTCTCATTGCTTTTTCGATATCACCTAAGTACAATCATATACAGGAAAAATACTTTATTCTGTTTGAAAGTATAGCTCCTGTCCAGCAAAAAACCAAATGATGTGTTTTTCCAGATCCACATGCACAAAATATTTTAACAAGTAAAGTACATTTGAAATTATGGAAACCCGAAGTTAAAAGTAGTTACATCGTTGCTTAATATAACGGTATAAATTAATAAATGTTATATAAAGCAGTTATAAAGTAAAATGATGTTAGGCAAACATAGATAAATTGCGAATACAAAGCATATTAACTCAATCTGTAACAAGCTCTTGAAGTCCATGATAATATTAAAAGGTTGAAATTCAAGGAACTCGTGTATATACTTAAAATATTAAAATCCATAAACGAACAACATTTTATAATTAAATCTTTATTTAAACCGATCAACAGTTATAAAAGTCCCTCTACACGTTTCAACGTGGTTTCACGTCATCTTCAGTAGTGGTCCCCCAGTGGTACAGCGGTATGTCTGCGGAATTACAACGCTAGGAACCGGGTTTCGATACCCGTGGTGGGCAGAACACAGATAGCCATTGTGTAGCTTTGTTCTTTAATACAAACAAACAAACAAAATCTTCAGAAGTGTGAAAAACAATTAAACGTGGCAGGAATATTGTTTGAAAGAAGAGAAAGCAGCGTGATAGTTGCCTGCTCTTCCCAACAGAGGGTGTTCAGGAACAATCGTTCGCCTTCAATCCTGCACGTGGGTAGGTTTTTCTAATGTGATCTCGTGGATTTTATTTCTTGCGTTAATATTTGCGTAAAGCTGTGAAGAAGGCCGGAGAAGACATGAGGATCTTGGCACTGAAGGATTTCTTGTTCTTCGTGGTTGGAGGTTTGATTCCAGTTGAAGATGTAGTTCAGCGACGTGGAGAGACATAGACTATGACCAAACTAACTAGTTCCAGCTTGTTTTACTTTTAAAATTTAAAGATTAAAAGAACCAATTTGTGTTAACATTATGATTTTCGAAAACTAAACGATCGAGAGATGAAGGCCCTTTTCGACGGACATGAGACCTTTGGGTCCAATGCCCGGGAGAATTTTGTTGTGGGGGGAGAAACAGGAGTACCCGGAAAAACCCACTTTCACACCCTGCACTTTGGGGTCATAGGAGCGCTATAGGTGACAGTCAGCTTCCACTATTCCGTCAGACGAGAGTAGCCCAAGTGTTGGCGGGGTGTTGTTGACTAGCTGACTTCCTTCTAGCTTATCAGTTCAAAATTAAGGACAGTGATGCATAGACTGACCTTTTTGTAGATTTGCTTGAAAAATATGAAACAAGCAAAAATATGAATAACTTTATGTAAACTCTTATACAAAACTTTCAAACCTGTCTTAAAAAGACTGATTCCTGTTCGTTAACACTCTACACATCTAGTTTTAGAGTAAATCCCAATTGTATTTCAAATGACGATTTATGAACGTTCAAACCTATCTTAAAAAGACTGATTCCTGTTCTAGTTTTAGAGTAAGTCCCCAATGTATTTCAAATGACGATTTATGAACGTTCAAATCTGTCTTAAAAAGACTGATTCCTGTTCTAGTTTTAGAGTAAGTCCCCATTGTATTTCAAATGACGATTTATGTACATTCAAACCTGTCTTAAACAGACTGATTCCTGTTCTAGTTTTAGAGTAAATCCCCATTGTATTTCAAATGACGATTTATGAACATTCAAACCTGTCTTAAACAGACTGATTCCTGTTCTAGTTTTAGAGAAATCCCCATTGTATTTACAAATGACGATTTATGTACGTTCAAACCTGTCTTAAAAAGACTGATTCCTGTTCTAGTTTTAGAGTAAATCCCCATTGTATTTCAAATGACGATTTATGTACGTTCAAACCTGTCTTAAAAAGACTGATTCCTGTTCTAGTTTTAGAGTAAATCCCCATTGTATTTCAAATGACGATTTATGTACGTTCAAACCTGTCTTAAAAAGACTGATTCCTGTTCTAGTTTTAGAGTAAATCCCCATTGTATTTCAAATGACGATTTATGTACGTTTAAACCCGTATTCAGTTTGAAACTGTTCTTCGTCACTTCAATTTATGAGCTGTCTTAAAAGAATAAAAGTAAGCGCATTCCGAAAGTTAAAAATATTGTGCATTTTAATTATGTTGCACACCCTATTATTATTATGATTAATTTTTCTAAGGCTTTTCGTCTTTCTTCTATTCCACTTTTGTTGTCGGAAATCTATAAATATTATTTCAGCTGAACTGAACATAGACATAAATCCC